TTCAAGGGAAGAGGAATATTTTAGCCATTTGTGCTGATATGCTTATCTGGAGTTACCCGGGATGGATGAGCAGCTACAGTAGTGAGTCGACGTCTCACTCAAGGACACACTCACTCAAGGATGTGTCACTCAGGATGCTCAGACAAAAGGTCTCATCCCTACTGCTGTAAATATAGACAACCATTATCCAAATTTGCCATGACATTCCCCCACTGTGATGACACTGGTAGTGTAAAACTCTTGACAATGATTGCAGACCACTGGAGGATTCAAGTCTCCATGACAGCAAGCTTCTGCCCTGCTGAAGTGTCATTGAGCAACAAAACAGCTCCAGGGCTGGTGTTCTGGAGGCTGACAATGACCTCTGACCTCTCTGTAGAGGAGTGTTTGTAGAGATCAAGAGTATCACAAGCAATCCCTGTGGAGTGGCTCCACAGTTTGCAGTCACTATCGGCAGAGCCTGTTGCTATTTACACTTGAGGGACTGTACCATTGGGTCTCAGAGGTGGGGGGGTTAATTCCAGGGAGTTTCCTGTGGGGATGAGCTTTGGAGAGGGAGTGGTGGTGGGGGTGTGTGTGGTGGGGATCGTGAGGTTGGATCCTAATCCCTCAGCCTCGGCTGCAGCACGGCCTTAGGATAAACTGACATGTAGGCTTTGGACATATGAAAATGCTACTTGGACTTTAGCAATTTTATATTTGTGTTTGATTTGTTCAGAAGTAATTTTTACAGTACGGGATGTCAACTCTGGTAAGTTTTTTTCTCAAATGTTTGCTGCATTGTGCCATTTAATTTGTGTTTTTTTTTGTTAGTCAAACCAGTGAGGAAGTGAGGGATAATGTAGACTGAAAAAATACCCGTGGTGCCATGATTTGGTGGTTAGTTTTATCTGTTGCAACAACATCAGAATGTAGCACCAGTTATATTTCAGCCATCATCATTGCCATGTATATAACAAAATTCATAGACATTCCAGTCCATTAACACCGCTCATCTTTAGATGGTTTGCTACACATAGTACCATTTGTCAAATTCTTCAGCTAAAGCTGATTGTAGAGATGTGTAGAAAAGAGGATACTCTCATGTCAGTTTGAAGGTCTCCCATTGCATGCAGGAGGAATCTTTGTTATCAGGATCTATTCAATGCAGCATATTTTTGGTAGCAAAGGTATTGGCATGAACAACAAACATGTTGCTATTAAATGTATTTGACAGGTTAGCAGGCAGGTTGTCCCCAGAAATTATGGAGGATTGTCCTTTGACCTTTTGAAGTCACAGAGGAGCTGAGATTAAAATGAACTGAGTTGTTGCAACATACAATATGTAGTTGATGCATTCTAATAGATGTTTTTTTTCAAAAGTGCATTCGTAATATCTCAGAGCCAATCAAACCCCTCACCCAGCTACTTACTGGAGCCCTGGTGGTGCAAACTGGTAGTAAAGGTCAGTCATTTTTATATCAGGACAAGCAATATCTTTTGAGGCAATAAGGTTACAGTTATGCTGATGACATCATGTGCAGGTGTCATGGTGCCCTGATGTGCTGATAAAAACATCCTATCCAAAAAAAGAAAGAAAGAATGACAATGGATCACAATAGACACATCTGTGTTTAAAGGGTGAAGTACGCTGTAGAATTTATTAATGATTTTGTCCATTTCCATACTTCCCAAATATATTACAGCTCATATCCAAGTCCCTGGATGTGCAAATATGGGTGAAGAAAGTGAATAAATAAACTTCCCCAACTCTCAGTTACTACTGATGAGGGATCCCTGAGCAATGCACTTCCAGATGATCAAAGGAAGGCAGAGCAAGGCGCTTGGAGCTGCCCTCTGACCAGCAGTGGAAGAGCCTGGTTATACTGAGTGAGTCCCAGGTGACTGAAAGAATCAAAAGGAAGCTATACCTGAAGAAAAAGGTCTTCAGCTGCTGGCCCCAGAGCAACTCAACTCTTGCATCTACTGTGTGTCTGCCAACAGCATTTCCTCCAAAATCTGATACCACAGCATTAATATGTAACTCCACAAGTGTGCACGGTTCCGTAGCTCTCGGTAGAACAAGCTACAGAAAGTGATGAAGCGAAGACGACAAAGTTTGGCTCATTCAAACTAATAAATTATCTGAGAGGTAAAAGGTCACTTGTGAAATTGAGATAGCTTCTTGTAAATTATGTTGTGACCTCTCTGCTTCACGTTAAACCTCAGACTCACATTGATTTTCACAATTCAAAGAGGCTCTTTGACTTTTCAACACCGGGGACGCACTCAGAGGGAGGCAGATCGTGACCTATTCAAACTCTGCACAGTCATAAATGCTGTGTGTGTGTGTGTGTGTGTGTATTTGTGTGGGGTTTTTTGTGTGTGTGTGTTAGGGGTAAGTGGGGCGGTGGGGGGGGGGGTGTCTAGTTGATACATTAATAAACACTAACACAGATCAATAACTTAGAAGAGAAGGGAGAGGGAGGGAGACGAGTGAGTACAGGCAGCCTAAGTGTTATGTAAGCGCCAGCTGTGAATGAAGGCTCTGCAGCAGGATGATGAAAGCAACACTGCTTTCCTCAACCAGACACCCTCTCAATTTCTCTTCTGGATTGTTCATGTATTATTCCTGTCACTGAGGGAAAGAGCAACAAAACTGCTGAACGTGATCCCATCATGGTACTGCATTTCCGCTCATTACTCCTGGCAACAAAGCTGATAAATGCAGACATTTTAAGACTAACTTTGGGATTTTAAAAATACATGTCCAAGAGCTGCAAATACATGTCAGTGCACAAATCCAGACCCCATTATCTACTGATGCTATCAGCCGCCTCTATGACTTTTGTGATGAAACAATAATGTGAGAAAGGGAAAAATGAAAAAATAAAAATCAGCAGTCTTAATCTGGATTAAATTACAGTGTCCGTCATGCTGGCTCCAAACCAGAACAAAACAGACCAACCTAAACCAAACCAACCATCCACTCGTCAGATGGTAAGACTACAGTCATTTCTGGATGGAGCAAGTAATGCCCATTTTGTATTCTGAAAACAAAAATGTAATAGCACAAAGTGACATTCATTTAAAAAATATCTGTATAATAGGCAAACGGAATGTTTTAACATTATTACATAACTAGAGTCTGTAAAAAACAACACATATTTCAAATGTTACTTAAGGAAAAAAAGAAAACACAACAGCAGTGTTACTGCCGGTATTAAAGCTAGGGCTTCTCAAAATGAAAAGTACATTTCCCACAAACCCTGTTGCTTTTTACTGTGAAGAGGATGTTACCGCTTTGTTTTTTCTGCTTTGCCTTTTCTTTTGCTGAAAACAATATGAATGTTTTCATATCAACATTTGATTTGTTTCAAAATATGTAAGACTAAAAGCTAAAAGCTAAAATCCTTAGCATGTGTGAGAAATGGCTCAGTGTTCACGTTTGGTGTAAAGAACCGATTTTAATGCAGTTTTTGTTGAGATATAGATATTAAATGCAACACACTGTACTGATAAGGTGTCAGATGCCTTGATTAATCTTCACCAACATGTCAAAAACAGTTACAGAGCAAGCATTTTGGAACAGTGGTAAACTTTTGAAAGAAGGTCCTGTGGACCCCAGGAAGAGTAGCTGGGGATCTGAATATAATATATAAGTTTTTTTCTTACGGATGAAAACTTGAATTCTTTAGCCATAAGACACCCCTATAGTCATTAAAATACATTTGGGGGTTTTGCTCCAACAGGGCTACATGGTCAGCTATGACCAGTAGTTTATAGTAGCTATGTTAGCTAATATTAGCAAATGTTTAGATTAGTACATTGTTGTGTAACTAGCATAAATGAGTCAGCAAACTTCCTGTATGACTCTTCTCTACTTGTGCTTCTATTGCTGCTATGGTTTAGCATTTATCATTATTAACGTTCTTTAGCTTTTAACTTTATTTTGTCATTTCTTCTGTTAAACGGTACGTGGCTAGCTTTAAAGGTAGCACCGTCAATCTGCCCTTGAGCATGGCACTGAGGACTAAGTTGTCCTGTGGACCTCCCAGTGTGAATGTAAAGCAGTAGCAGCAGAGAGACGTTAAAACTACAAAAACATCTCTGAGTACACAGATGGACCACATAAGGCACAGGGAGGTTGATTTTACAGTTTAACAATGTGAGTCAGTATCTCACGAATTGTGTGCTCTATTTGACATTCAACTATGTGGCTTGGTTGTCTGTCCCAAAATGTTTCTACAATACGTCATCATTTGTTATCTCTAAATTACAGAGGATCCAGCCTCAGGCAAACAAATTGCTTGATTTTGTAAAAATATGTGCATGCCTTCACTGTGTACGTCCTTTAATCATGTCAGTAATGTATGTGATAAAACGGAATGTGATTTGTGTAGCCTTACTATTGGCGCCTCTGGCCACTATCAAATGAAGATAAATCTGGATTGTGTCATCACTGCAGCAGTGCTATGTGATGGATCAAAATGGCGTCAGAGCATTTGAGCAGGGAGACAACGAGATTATCTGGTTGTGTGGAAGGACACGCAGCCTACAAGGGAGACTGGGAGTGCTCTTTCCTGCCTAATGACACTTTTAATTTCTGCATTTGTTTATGACTTAAAGTTGATTAGATTGACAGGAAAGGGAACTATAGCAAAATAGCAAATAGCTTGACTAAATCGTTAACATACACCGTGGGAGAGAAATTCAAAACAATGGGGAAATGTCTTGCCCTTTTATAATTATACGACATATTGTAGGGAAATCATACACTTTCTCTAGCCTTTCTAGGACTTTGTCCTTGCTTGTGGTTCAAAGGTCATGATGTGCCCTAAATGTTTTACAGTTGAATGAAACCCTTTGAGATCTGATTGTGACTTGACTTAGCAGATGCCAGCTGTCCCAAAGGGGACTGTTACACAGCAAGGTCTCTGCCCTACAAGTGCATTATTCTTTGCTGTTATGCAGACAGACTATTTTTGATGTGATGTATGCATTGTGTTTTAGGTTCGGTATGCAGCACTGTGCAAATCAAGGAAGGTAATAGTCTTTCAACGCAGCTGTTGAGGCCTTAAATTTGAGACCCAGACTCCTCAGAACATCGAGCCACAGAATACCTGCAGTTTCCTTTTGACACCTGGAATCCAGGAGACTGCAGCAACACTGAGAGCAACTCGCAGCTCGTTAGGAGGATTATGTCATTATAACTGACAACTTGAGCTTCCTCAGAGTACGACGGCTACAAGGCAACGTCAGTCCTGCTTCACTTACACCCAGCAGGAGCCATGGATGACCCCTACCACAACAACGTGAACCAGCAGGTGACAGAGGGTGGAGAATACACCTACACCCAGGATGGAGGAGGCTACCCTTATCAGACTGACTACCCTCCACAGGAAGAGGATGCTGCTAGCGATGCCACAGAGGGCGCAGACGATGATGAGCAGATGTATGAGGGGGAGTACCAGGGCATCCCCCACCCTGACGAGATCAAGGAGGCGCGGCGCGCAGCTCGGTTGGAGGCCAGGAGGAAAGCCCGTCAGGCTGGCCAGCAGGAAGAGGAGGAGGAAAGCCTGCCAGAGCAGTACGAGACCATCATGGAAGACTGCGGGCATGGGCGCTTCCAGTGGATGCTGTTCTTTGTCCTGGGCCTGGCCCTAATGGCTGACGGTGTGGACGGCTTCGTGGTGGGCTTCGTCCTGCCCAGTGCTGAGAAGGACATGTGTATATCCAACTCTGACAAAGGATTGCTGGGTAAGTGACAGCAAAGGGAGGGAAGATGGAAAAACTGAGGTTTCTGTTGCATGTGGTGAAAATGTATAAATTATGTTATTCCAAAATTATGTTGCCACTTTTAGACTTAAAATAATAGATTAAATAGTTAAGTAATAGTAAAATAATCAAACAAGACTAGGCCGCATTCAGACTGCAGGCCAAACTGACCCAAATCAGATTTTTTTTGCTCAAATGTGACTCATATCTGATTTTTGAGTGGACAGCCCCAGTCACATGGATCTGGTCCAAATCAGATTTTTTAAATGCGACCTCAGTCTGGACAGTCAGATTGGAATCCATGCGACTCTGACGTCACTCTAAAGCAACCGTCACGACAATTCTGCACTAGCAGAAGTAGCAGCCATTGCTCCACAAAAAGCCATAATTAAACATGTGGCCCGCTTTCGCCTCCTTCCTGTTATCATTTGCTAGTAAATTCCCTTTCTTCCACAATCAACTAAAAAAATCTGCTCAAAAATAAAACATTAGACGCTAACCTCTGTGGCCTCTATGTTTGCATCTGTACAACAGCGTGCTGTGTGTGACGTTGTATTATTATTTTGCGCGTGCAGGTCACTTTCAGGTCGTGGCCAGTTCATACTGGAGTCTGATATGAGCCACATTTAAAAAACAATTTGAACAGTCACACTAGCGGCTCTCTAAAGATTCTACTAGGCACAATGGTTATATAGTTATAAATCGTATTGGACAAACTAAAATTTTGACTGTGAGACGGCGCTAGACGAACAGTCAGGGGATCCCCATAGTTTTTACAATTTATCCTAAGGGGAACATGAAAGTCTGTTCCAAATTTCATGGCAAGAGTTGTTGAGCCATTTCTTTCAAAGCCCCGAATTTAAATCTCGTGAGGAAATTTAAATCTCATAGTAGGGGATAACCCAAGTCAATAAAAGGCAAAAAGGCTTGAATCTTTTAGGCAAATGCAAAAAAAAGGAAGAACAAAACCAACACTGCATGTCCTAATAGAGTATGGGTCGACTGTGAGCCACCTTATTGAGTCACTGGACAGTGAGCCTTGTCATTGGTACTACAAATGTCTGGAAGTTGACATGAGAAAAACGTGGCTGCTTTCAGTATACTTTTAATGTTGGATACACTGTGTAAAGAGGATGGTGTTTCCAGTAATTTAGTTGCCTGCTAGCTTCACTTGTTCCCAAATGTTGTACCACAACAGTAAACACAGCAAAAATCTTTACTGAAATTTGTATGCGGCATAGAGCCAACTAACTGGGAAATGTACCTTGAAAACGTCTGTTCCTCCCTTTCTGTGCAGGCAACTAAACTGCAAATTAAAGCCCCTCACCTTATTTCCCAGACCTCGTGTGTAGCCAGGTGATATGGCAGATTGCACATCGCTCATTTCATTTTAACAACAAGCTCCTGGGATGAGGCATTGCAAGAGATTGATGAGGAACCCGGTGGTGATTGTATTCAGTTTGTGTTCCCAGGCTAATATGGAGCATGTTGCTGCAGTCAGAGAGCCTGGCGGCCTGCAGCGCCTGGTGCAGAGCTGTCAGATACGCTTCAGGCCTCTGACAGGCTGTGGTACCAGGAGGAAGGCCTGGCGAAAATGAAATCACAGCATCTGTGCAGAGCGGGAGGGGAACATTGATCACTGACTGAGAATATGAAGTAGATCTGTGGAATGATCCTGTCTGATTCACACTCATGCTCTGTTCACCGCACTCACGGGAGCAGAAATGTGTTTATTCTTAACCTTAGTCTTCGATAGCAAGATGCCCAAAGCTTTTGTTAAAAACAGGGGGGTTGGTGCATTTACCATTAATGTTGCTGTTATTGCTTAATCTATAGAGTCAAAATACCTGAGGCTTATAGTGGGAGACACAATGTTGGAGACGAAGAAGCAAAATGCTGGCAGTTTTTAAATCCCAGGCTTGATGTGGTTGTAGACATTGAACTATGTTAAAGAAATTGCTATACTTGCAATGCAGCTATAGCATTTCTGGAATAAAACTGAAGTTGCAATTAAAAAGGTCATGCATAAATTACAAGCTGGTTTTGTGAAAGTTCCCTGCTGCCATTTAAGAGATAATCTAGAATATCCTTTGTGTTTAGCATTGATGGCTGCAGTGTTTTTGCACTTCCCACTCCCAGAAACCACATGTCAGTCAAGCATGTTCCTTTTGATTGACTCTGACTTTTTATACTTACCAGAGATTTTTCTTTTTCTGTTAAGCAATGACAGCTTTACTGCTCATGCATAATATCCAGCTCTTCCTCTATTTACTTCAAACAAACTACTGTTACCGTTGTATGACATGTGAAATACTATCTCTACTTGTGCACCTGCTTCTCGTAGTTCTTTGTAACTGCAAACTAGTTTTAAATGGGTGCTTTACTAAATTGGGTCACATCATTAAAACTTCAGGAACATCTTAGCTAGTAAGACTTAAACTATTTTACACATTATGTCAGTAATGTGTAAATCGGTTGCTTTGAAACACCTCAGTGCTGTCTAATGAAAAACAATCAACACTGTTAACAGGAAGCACTTCAGTATCCCACTCTGTAACTTCCAAAAATACAGTTTAAGGGGACCTAGCTACATATTGAACAGACTTTTGTGTGACGTCACATGTGTTGACCATATCCCAGTAGTTTACCTCTCGCTCTACCTTATTTCTTTTACTCTGTTAATATATCGGCATATATCGGCAAGCGAATCATTAGCTTGCTAATATGTATGTGTTATTAGCTGCATGTGTTATTGTCAAATCCTTCAGTTTAGCAAACACCTGGCTGAAAAATATTAATGGAACAACTCTCTTTATAAGACCTAGTTTGTGTGGTGCAGCTTGTTTTAATTTAGTGATGCTTAAAATATCCACTTAGTAAACACTTATAGGCTAAGTCTGAACTTAGGAACAGCTGGTGCAACCGGCTCCAGGCCAGCAATAGTAACAACTTTCCTACACTGGCTACAAATTCAGTAGCATACTGCAGAACTGACATAACAGAAAAATTTAGCAGATTATTACTTTAAGGCTTTTCACAATTCATTTTAGGAAAATGCTGCCAGGTGCTCATTCTTCAGTATTCATAAAACTCATTACATTATATTCTATAAAATGTTGCTCTGTTGTTTAAGGAAATAAAAGTAAGAAAAAAAGAGCTTCATTTGAGCTTAATTTCTTCTATCTGGAATGAAAGTGAACGATCACAAACTGGAATGATAAACAAAAGCAGAAGCGTTGAATGACATGTTTATGTCATCCATAAAGAAAAGCCTCACATCTGTTTTAATTATGTACACATGGTTAGTATTTCTTTAGACAGTACTTATTGTGTGATATGAATAGATCCGTTGTCCCTTCATCTTGATGTGTTACATGCACAAACAGTGCTTTCACTTTTAATTTTACAAGGGGAAAAATTATTCATTTCCCCTCCAGGGATTCAGTGTCGTCACTGCGCTCAAGGACGCTTTAACAGGCAGATAGAAGCTTGTTGCTGCAGGGGCTGATCCTGGGCCTCCACCTGAAGGACAGGCTTTCTAATCACAAGGCCACTGTGTCATCCTGTCCATGTGCATATCCAAGGCATACACATGGCAGTATGGAACAACTTAGCCAAGATATTAGGTGACATGTCAGCCTTGAGTCTTTGTCCCCTGGTGCCCTGGGCAGTCTCTTGTTGAATGAGTTAGGGATGTGTAGCTTGGCGTGTGGAGCGCCAGAGCATCTAGATAGTCTAGTAATCCACAGGGAAGGTGCACACTATGGCTCCACGTGCTGTTAAGCTGCTTAGTCCCACTGTAATTAGGGCTGTGTGTAGTAAAAACACAGAGCAGGCAGGAGGTATCAGTCTAAAGGTTTAAACAACATGGTGAAGAGGATGGCCGAAGCTGCAGGTTCGAGCCCTGACACTGACATCAGGGGACAGCACATTACTCTCCCCAGAGACATAAAATGGAAGTACATAATCATTATTATCTCCTCGGTGCAGTAATGGGCAGCACAGTAGGTTACTCTTGAGGGCTGTTGCCTTACAACAGAAATAAATGACACATTAGACCTCCTGCCTATAGTGCATGCTGGGATAGGCTAGACATGCTGCAACCCAGAGTGGCAATGTCAATTTTTGCATGTAATAAAAGTTAACAACAAAATGACAAGACACATGGAGCAATATGTATCACGTGTGAATAAACCTGAAAGCAGATTTAAAAAACATGGAAGGTGAATATTGTGCAAGTGAAGTACTCATAAGTGCCTCAACGTCCTTATAACCTTTATTCCTCAGTTTTCTGGGAATGCCATTATCAGCACTAAATCTTTTCTTGGAATGTCATTCTGAACATTCAGAAATGTTGATCAGAAGATGCATCACACTGAACAGTACAGTACAAAGGGTGACGATTTCTCTATTCCTCTGTTCTCTATTCAGGTGTTCATATAAGGGTAAAGGGGGCCCCCTTGTGGAGATCAGGAAACTCCAATTACAGAAATGCTATAGTTATTCCTTCCAATGATGTTTGTGTGTATGTATGCAAATAGTATCTGTAAAGCCTACGCTATGTGTTTCAGTTAGATCAAGTGCACACTGTGGGAGTAAAATGTGACTTGACTGTAGGTGTAAAGGTCTCCTCCAAATGCCACAAAATGAGGTTTGTGTTTATGTGTGTATTTGCAGGTCTACTGGTGTATGTAGCCATGATGGTGGGGGCGTTGGTGTGGGGGGGTCTGTGCGATAAGATGGGGAGGAGGAAGTGTCTGATCTACGTCCTGACCATCGACCTGGTTTTCTCCTTCCTGTCCTGCTTTGCTCAGGGCTACGGCTTCTTCCTCTTCTTCAGGTTCTGCTCCGGCTTTGGGTGAGACACTTATATTTAACATTTATGTTCACGTGTACATCCTCAGGCCTCGCTTGAACAAAAGACAGTGTCAGCCGGCTATTATAATGACTGAATGACTATTTGAAGATATTTGTTCCAAAATAAGATACTTGACATTTAAGTAAGAAACAAACTGTGGACCTTCAAGAACACCAGTTGACTCACTTAGTTGATATGTTTCATTAATTGAACACATTCACATTTCATGCTAGATTTCTGTTTATTTATTTCAAAGGAACATTTCTTTACTATACCAATTAAGTGAACAATGTTCTTTGTGTTGTTTTAATTTGAGTTTTCCTGCTGATTTCCTGCTGTCACCAGCACCTTGACGCTGTGCACACATTGATTTTGCAGCTTTCAAAGACACATTTCTTTTGATAATGATTGCAGCCTGAGTGTACCCACCTGCAATATTGATGTTTGAGCTTTTTGCTAAGCCAGAGAATACAAGGTCACCGAAATAAAGCGTTCAGCTGTTGCTGATAATGAGCCCTGTGTTAGTCATTAGCACTCACATCTGCAGGAGACGCGTGCCCGTTTTGCCGGCTTCACAAAACATAAGGGCAGTCATGGCAGTCTCCAAACTCCCGTGTAAGATTTGTCATCATGATAAAAAAAGATAAACCATCTAAGATGCAAATTATTGTCTTGGTGTTAAACATACTGCAGTGGTTTTGCTAAAAGTTTTGCTGATCTTCATTTAATGTGATTTCCCTGTTGTTGTTTTTTTGAGTCTTTTAAATTAGTATTAAATTGGGAAATATTACTCAAATCATATAAAAGAGAAAGATAAGCATTTTATTTTCCTTTTTCTGTAATTTGGGTTCAGGAGCTGTCTGGATGATGTCTCATAAATACGATGATGATCACATCTATTACTGTAAAAGAAGATGCCCAAGATACTAATGTGTTGTAGCCCAAGACCAACCACTCTCAGCAGGCTCCAGCCAGAAAACATCCAGTCTCATTATGTGAACCATTTATATGTCAAACCCTCCTCCTAATTTTAACCACATCAGCATTCAGTTGCCCTCAGCAATTCTTCATTATCTCAGAAAATGCTTTTCATCCCAAGTATTCAAAACTGACTTTTCTGAATCTGGCTTTTAACTTGTAGTTTTTCAGAGATGGATGAACTTCAAAAGTCAAGGTCTGTTAACGGGACAATAAAGCTGTTAAAGCTTTTACTTTCTGAAAAGGTAGAGAACATTTGCAACATAAAATGTTATTGTACACATTTGTAATTCTGTCATAAACCTTTATGCTTGGCTATTTATTTGATCATAAAGAATTTACCCAAGTCACAAAAAAGTGTTGTCAACAGTTTTCATTGGAACTACTGTATTTTTTTTGTAGAAAGTAGATCCAATGAAAATGGTTCACAGCAAGGTTTGTCAGTCATCCAGTGCATCCAGGACATTTTTATTGATTCTTTTAAATGTAATATTGAAAGTTTTGAGCACTACAAATTAAATTCCATGCACCTACCATGTGTTGGGCTGCAGGAAGACACAGATGTAGAAATAAAGCCAAATGCATCTGTGGAATGAGAGAACATGTGTTTTTGTGTAATTGTGTGAACCTGCCTTTAAAAAAAAAGATACTTTAAAGATCAAATGTCCTCTATATCCTCAGAGGATCATGGACAAAATAAAAGTTTATACACGAGATGTCTTGTGATTCCTCCCCCAGCATTGGTGGCTCAATCCCGATAGTGTACACCTACTTCACCGATTCCTGCAGATGGATAAACGTGGTGAACATCTGAGCTGGCTCTGCATGTTCTGGATGCTGGGAGGCCTGTATGCCTCCTTCACCGCCTGGGGAATCATCCCTCACTATGGTAACACATACACAGTGACTCGCATAACCACACACACACGTAAATACAGTACACGTAGACGCCCATGAAGACACACAACATTCAATTAAACCCAGAGGACAGAGATAATATACTGTTTATTTCACTTTTGTCAAATTTGAATTCACTGGTGTTGGATTTGTGGGACTTTTTTGTGCTTGCTAACATGCCTCATCGTGAGACGTTTCCCTAGCAATTAAACATGAATAATTCACATTAAGGATTGAAAAATTATTTTATGGAAGTCTTATATAAACACACAGTTATATATGTGTAACTGTAACTTTCAACTTTTGATTCTTTGCAATGGTTCAAATGCAAAAGTAGATGTATCAGTTCATAAATGAAGTTTTATATATACAACAATAAAGATGTGTTTTGTTGCACCACAGCAGTAAAGCGATGCTGAAATATTAACATGCTCTTCACTGGATGGTTTTCCAGGTTGGGGCTTCGCCATTGGTACTGAGTTCCAGATCCACAGTTGGAGATTATTTATTTTTGTGTGTCTCTTCCCGGCGCTGGCTGCACTTGTCGGTGTCATCTTCATGCCGGAGAGCCCTCGTTTCCTCCTGGAGGTCAGAGCCAGTGTCACCAGATAAAAACACGCACAAGATTAAAATGTGTTTCATTGTCTGCTTCAACTGCATAACACAAAGAACTATCTGTACTGCTAATACAAGAGAGATTAAGAATAACCACAAAAGATATTGAGACACAAGCTCCCTTTCCTAATATGCATTATGTCAGCGTATGGTGTTAAACATCAAGCTGTGATTGGTTAAAAATGTTGAGTCACCAGCCACCACAGCAACATCCCACTGCTGTGCAAAGGTAGCAAAAGTCTGCTAAGGCGCCACCAGGACACCACCCACCCCTGCTTCTCATCCAGGACATTGTCAGACCTTTAACCACATGTGGTATTGTATTTGTATGTTACAGCAGGGCTGCTCCAGCATGTTCATATCACCCCCCACACACACACACACAAATTATCACACATTTCCCCACCTGATTACAGACAGACCCTCATGGGAACATTGTTACTCAACTGTATCTGTCCACGTGTATGTGGGAAATAAACGTGCCTTAAACAATAAGAGGTTAAAATTGTTCATGTAGACATTCATAGGTAATAGCTTGCATGTGTGTGTTTTCTTTCTCAGAATGCCCGACACGATGAGGCGTGGATGATCCTGCGACGAGTTCACGACACCAACTGGAAGGCCAAGGGGGAGCCGGAGAGAGTCTTCACTGTAAGCCTTACTTTATAGCGGCGGTTTTGCCCAATCGCTCACCATCAATTATCTAATTTAGCAGTTCATTAACAAAATAAATGTAACTACAGGCTATTTTATCTGATCCTCAGCTGTCACAAATGACATAAATGATTTCATTGTTCCATTTAATTGTAAGCCATGACAGCAGGCCAGGATGCACAATCGGCTTTTTTTCACAGCTAACATTCTGACATGCCCTAGTGGGAAAATCGCAGGTGTTATTAATACCATTAATGATGGCTGCAGTGCATTTAGGTGTTCCAGGTTCAGGCACCTGTTGTTGTGCAATAACAACAAACGTTTATTGCTTATTATTAGGTGGCCTAATGAGCACCACATGTTTAAAAATCAGTACAGATGTTACAGGGATGCCCTGAGAAAGACAGCTTGCAATTTGACTGATTAAAAAAAAGCCAGTGTGTGTTTATAATGTGCTGTTTTCTTTAATATACTGTATATCATTTTTCAGGTTTTCATTAAACCCTGTTTTAAAAACTTTCAATTAGATCATATACTCTCAATTTCTCTTGAAACACAGCCATGAAATTAAAGATTAAGCAAGTTATTGTTGATATGTCCAAACTCATCTCTCTTTATGAAGGCAACCAACATTAAGACTCCACAAACTCAGGAGGATGAGTTCATAGAGATCCAGAGTGACACTGGAACTGCCTTCCAGCGCTGGACCGTCAGACATATGACCATGCTGCAACAGGTCTGCAGATCTCTCCTACACACCCGTAAAACAGGATAGAAAACTAACTTTGCATTTGTCTCACGTAAACTGAATGTCTTGAAAAGTGCTTTCGTCCCCTTCGTGCAGACCTTGCATGTTAATCTTAATTGTCTCTCCTTCTGTCCCTCAGGTGATGGCTAACATAATGTCACTAGCAGCGCCAGAGCTCAGACTGCAAGGCCTCTTCCTGGTTATTGTCTGGTTCTGCTTGGCCTTCAGGTAGCAACAATGCTATTTAGCCTGTAGACCCACATGTCTTAGTAGAATACACTTATATCCCTAATGGTAGATTTGCATTCAAATCATGGATTTTTAGAAAGTTAGTTTTAATAAGTGGACATTTGTAAATTCTCCAAGGCAGAGCCTTTCTGAAGAAAGATAAAAGAAAGAATGTTGCTGTCAAAAATCTCACTTACCCTTGCAGATTCCTTTGTTTTTATGTACTCATATTTCTGTGTTCCTATGTGTATCAGCTACCATGGACTGGGAGTGTGGTTCCCCGATATGATCAAATACATGCAGTTTGAGGAGTACGAGTCCAAGGTCCGAGTGTTCCACCGAGAGCGGGTCGAACATTTTCACTTCAACTTCTCTCTGGTCAACCAGATCCACCGCGAGGGAGAGTACATCCATGACAAGTACGTTTCCTCAACACAGCCCCACTATTATATTTACATTCATGTTTATTCTACTGCTTGATGAGTTTTCTTTCCTTTCATTTAGGTTCGCAAACATTGAGATCAAGTCTGTGAAGTTTGAGGATTCTCTGTTTGAAAACTGCTACTTTGAGGATGTCAAGTCAACCAACACCTTCTTCGAGAACTGCACCATCAAAAACACTGTCTTCTATAACACAGGTATTGTGCTCACTCCTTAAGGTCTGGGGCTGCAAAAACTCAACTAACTAGTAGTATAAATTATATATTAAAACCATCAGTTTACATCCTAATGTAAAATTTATTCTAGAAACCGCTCGCTTCGCCTCCTTTTACAGCTGTCCCTCTGTTCTCTCCAGACCTCTGGCAGGAAAAGTTCAAAGACTGTCGAATGGAGAACACCACCTTCCTCCACCCAAAGAAAGGCTGCCATCTGAACTTCCAGGAGGAGAACGACATCGTCATCTACTTGGTCAGCTTCCTGGGCAGTTTGGCGGTGTTGCCGGGCAACATCATCTCAGCATTGTTCATGGACAAGATAGGAAGGATTAGAATAATAGGTGAGATCAGCAGAAAGTGTAAATGCAGTATTAGTACAGTAACCCTGGACAGGTGGTGGTGGGGGGGTTGTGTAGTTTTTGACAAATCTGTTTCTTTCTTTCTAGGTGGCTCTATGTTGGTGTCGTCTGCCTGTACTTTCCTGTTGCTGCTAAGTTTCAGTCAAGGAGCTGTAATATGTTGGCAGTGTCTCTTCTATGGCGCCAGCGTGGCAGCCTGGAATGGATTAGAGGTCATTTCTGTGGAACTCTACCCCTCCTCTAAAAGGTACAGTCCAACTTTATATCCACTAATAAAAGGTCCAGTGCGATCTCTACCATACAGCAGTTCATCTCCATCTCTTTCCCGCAAGGTTTAGAATTAACCTTTTGCTAAATCCCTCACCCAAACAGCCAAACACGTTCAATCATAGCTTAGCAACTGTAAATAAGCTTGCCTGCCAGGTTTTGAATTTCTACATGTTTTGAAGTGATGTGCGTGGGTCTGTAATAAGAGAGATAATCCCTATTAAAAGCATTTGGTAAGTGGTGTGTTATTTTACCTTTCCAAACCAAAGACACAAGGGAAGAATTTATTTAACAGTGTGTTTATCTGTTCGTTTGCAAATGTTACAGCTTACTACCTACAGTAATAATATAGTGTTATTCCGAAGCAGTATGCCATTTTCTAACCACGTCATTTTGTGGGGTTGCGTTTCAAAAAGCCCTATTCAGGACAGTGTAGGCTAACAGCGGCAGCTCTGTCCTGTTGGGAGAAGTGTACACTCCCGCAACTCAAGCTAAACTCATTTACCAAGATGGAGGTAACATTTGTCAAACTTGTCACTTCGTCCTCATCCTCAAACCTGTCTCTTGTAAAATTTATAAATACGGTTTCAAGATATGAACAGTAATAAATCTAACCTGTGTGTGTCGCCTGTGAAAGTGCATTTTTCTACAGTATGCAAACAGGGATTTGTTAAAACAAAACATTGTTTAACATCAAATCACCAAAGTAAGTTGGAGATGGAGTTTCAACCAACACACAGTTAATAATAACTAATTAGTTCATTAGCTAGTTATTTAGCTGATCTGACAGTACCTCCTCTCCACTAAGACTTTAAAAGTAAATCTCATTCAACTGGACAAAGACTATAAGTCACCTCATATTACAACTTCATTCTCTTTTGCTGACATATTCAGAACTTTCGCATTTTTGCAATATTTTTCAATTTATTTTATTATTCTTGAGTCAAATAGCAATTCACTGTTACCAAGAAAAAATTACTCACTCAAAACATATTTTAATTCATCAATCTGCCATGCAAAAAGTTGTTCATCTAAACTTTGTCTGTCTTTTTGACTTTGCAGAGGGACAGCGTTCGGTATCCTAAATGGGATTTGTAAGTTTGCGGCCATCATTGCCAGCTTCATCTTTGCAGCCTTCATCGGCATCACTAAGATCATCCCCATCTTCCTGGCCTTCGCCGCCCTCGTTTGCGGAGGTCTGGTAGCTCTCAAGCTGCCCGAAACCCGGGAGAAAATCCTCTCTTGAAAAGCCAAACTCCTGCAGCCTCCAGGCCTCAACCACAGTTTAGCTATGGGGGAAAGCTTTTTGGGATATCAGCTTAAACTGAAATGGAAAGACAAGGAAGGAAAAGTCACACTGTGCTAGCTGTGTGGATGAGCCTGCCATGGTTATATGATTAAAAATGTTGAAAACCTGTCTGGTTGCCTATGTGAAACTGTGGTTGCTTTTTATTCCCTCTGTAAGCTCCTCAGTCTGCCCAGCGATTCTGTCACATCGTTTAAAAGTTGTGTTTGTCATTTCCTTTTTATTATTTACTGCCCATCCTCTATTCACACACATACACACAGTGTAACGTTTGTTTTGTTTAAGGTTTGTGTAAAAGAAAGATTAATATGAGATGATGTTTGTGAGTGTACGTGAAAGGTGATGTAGTTCATGTTACCATATTGTGCTTTGGTTTCATTCCCTTTTGGAAAAAAAATTAAGAGAGAGGACTAGTCAAAACTTGAACTTGATTTGAATCCTGTTGTATTCACCGCCGAGGCTCAGCAGCAATTTTACTGCTGGTGTTGTTATTCAGAGAAAACGCCTCTTTAGCTCACCCAGTCTGTATTAATTCTTCTTTAGTTCACATGTTGTTGCTTGGTTTGTTCTCTCTATACATAAACCTGGATCAACCATTTTATTATATGTAGGAGTTTTTTTTATTTTATTGAATCCACAGCTGTTCACTTCTCCCAATTTATCCAAATCCATCCTGAACAGCTGACCGGGTTCTCCTCCTGTTTGTCGTCTTGTCCTCAACTGAGACATTGTGTCTGTTCTTAAATGTAGAGCTGTGTTCTGTAGGTGGTGGTAGTGTAGAATCAGTTTTATCTGTCACATCCTGCCATGACAAAATGTAAGGAATTGTTCTGTTTGTTTATTCAATTATTTTTCGTCTTTTTTTCTAAACAAGAGAATGATACAAATCTGTTTTGATATGATGCTCTCGTTTTAACGTTCTGAGGAAGAACAGTTTTACAGAACCTGCTGCATTTCTGACAACATGTGTCAAGATTTCTAAGGAGCATGTTACTTTTTTGGCTTGACTGAGCTGTGTGTGTGTGTGTGTGTGTGTGTGTGTGTGTGTGTGTGTGTGTGTGTGTGTGTGTGTGTGTGTGGTTGTTGTCCACATGTCTGTGAATTTACTGGTACACAATAATCTGACTACCAATACTATGTTTGTTGTTGTACATACTGTAGACCTGTGTATATTAGTTGTAAAATAGTAGCTCCATCATGACTTGAATAAAGCTGAGGGCTTATGATCCAGTTTCCTGGTTAATAACATATGCAGAATATGTGAGAACGTGATGAAACAAGTTATACACTTTCAAGATTTCAGATTTGAATCCCAGAAATATTTTGAAATATATGAATATATGAAATATTGAAATATTTTTGGAAATACGACAGGTTAAAGTAGAAGATACCAATCTCAAATTTGTTTGTATAGAGCCCATGGAAAGAGCAGCTTAGCTTAGCATAAAGACTGGAGAAAAATAAGGTAAAAAATAAGCCTGGAACTACAGAAAGAACTGGAGTTGGTGAGTTCTGAGTTCACTCAGAGGCTGATGTGAACACAAACAAACACAAAGGAGCTGTATGTCTATTGCTAGCTAGCTTACAGCTAACTGTGTAAAGGTGGTACAGTGCATTGGCTGGTTGGGGTGAATAAAAGCAAACGTCTAGCTGTTCAATTTGCAAAAACTACGCTTCATTTTCTGTCTGAACACACCTTAAAGCTCACAAATCAACACATTATATTTCATTAATCAATATGTACCGCACACAGTACTGCCACAGTAACTTTTTTACTTTTGGACAGAGCAAGGCTAGCTGTTTTCACCTGTTACCCATCTCTGTACTTTCCTAAACACCTGCTTTGTGCACAGACATTGAAAATTGTATTATTATTATATTATATCTTATTCTTGACAAGAACAAAAATGTTCCAATATGTTGAACTATTCCTTGACCTGACCTGACAACTTCAAATACGCATAATTTATAAAATAAAATCACAGAGGATGTCTTTATGAATTTTAGATGTAAAGAAGTCAGGGCTGATTGAACAGAAATCATTCAAATCCAAGCTCTGAAACAATCTTGATCGCTTTCTAGAAACATGTTATATTTCAGGGATGATAGCAGTGAGTGGGCGCTGAATATAACTGTTGCCATGTCAGAGGCAGCTGTGTGTTGGGGGGTAGGTGAGCAGGGATTGTAAAAACATGGCAGCACACAAGTGTGAGCAAGTGCCGGTAGTGGAAGGATGTGTTTACTCTGGCTGAGGTGTGAAAGACAATCTGCTGATCTGTCCTCCAGGTTTATCTGGATGTCAAGTGAACAGAAGACACACACTGGAACTAATGCTTAAAATATGATCTAGTTTGACTTCAGTGAGATTTGGTCGATCAATAACTGATTGACGATGGATAGGTTTTTACCTTTCTAGGGGGTGTCTGGAATATTATCAACATTCCCACCAGGTCAATAGTCAGTTCATGCTCTCTACTTTCAACTATATAATTGAATTCGCTTAATTCTGGGAAGTTCTGTTGAAATTTGTCATGTTCTGCAAATGTCATTCTCTTATAATTAGAGGAAATTTACTGTCCACCTCTGACTGACCCTCCAGTTGCAGCTATGTTTCACACCTAGGGTGCAGAATGTGTCCCCCTCACCTGGCACCTCACTCAAGCTCACACTCTCTCTCACACACACACACACACACACACACTCACACACGCTCACACACACATTGAAGCTTTCAAACTAACACATTACCACACAAATCTGAGATAAACCTTGTCAATCTGAAGCGACAATATATTTAAAACTTTTATTTGCCCAGGACTAAATGTGAAGCAGTCCAAGACTCACAGAGAGTAAAAAGTGGCAGCAGGAAAAACACTTTTACCACCCTCAGCAGAAGTTTAGGCAAGAAACCGCCGACTTTTGAAGTCATTTACAGTGAAATGCGATGGAACTGGGAAATGTTTGTGACATGTTTATATTCAAGTGTGTCTTACAGTATTAAGACCATTAAGGCCACCATGCGCCTCCAGAGCACCTTAAAGGTCCAGTGTGTAATATTTAGGAGGATCTATTGACAGGAATGCAATACAACATACATAACTATGGTATGTTGTCAGTGGTGTACAAAGACCTTTTATTATCATAAGCCTGGTTCACACTACACGATTTTGAGCCCTATCCGGCAGTCCGTGAGCTCGGTGCCCGTCGGGCTGTTATCATGGGTAAATCAGCGATCGATCGGCGGTCGCCAGTCGCATCAAAACAGCTCCCTAACGCATCACTGACACATCGCAGACACCAGCGAGTTATCTAGCAAACCAAATATCTGGCGGAGTCGGCCGACTCGACACCCACATCCAGCCAATGAGAGCAGGCAGCTACTTTTTCACCGCAAAACAATTTTTACTCCCCTCAGCTCTCTCTGTAGCACAGACAATCCCTGCTACCTGCGTGTGCTGATCCATTCTTTCATTCATATTCTTTATCTTTATAATTGCTAGCTTTATAATAACATATAACAGCTGTTTCGTGTGTAGGTTCGCGTCATTTCCCGTTTCACATTTCACGTGTTGTCTTGACAAAATGTAGTTGGAAGATCAGCCATCAGGACACAGCCGTTGTCAGCTCGTGTCCTGTGTGACCCCCTGACCCTAGTCACGTAGTGTGAACACCACACTGACTCCCGTCACAAGACGGCAAGTTGTGTAGTCTGAACAGCACGGCCATCGGTTGACGCTGAAAGTCATGTAGTCTGCATGAGCCTTTAGAATGAGTCATGCCACTAAAACGTACACACTGAACCTTTAAATGCAGTTTTCTGGAACTCTGCTGGAGAGGTGAAACACCATTCTTGCAAAAGATATTCCTTTGTTTGGTGTTTTGATGTTGGTAGTGGAGTAACGTGTTGCTCCAAAATCTGTCATAGATGCTCACTTTGCATTTGTTGTTTCTCCACTCCTTCATTAATTGTTTTCTTTAATTAGCCTTATTATAAAATATTGAACTATCTTCTGGTCTTGAAGTCAGACCGCAGTATTAATGAAAGCAGCATATTGCAACCAACATGGTATGAGCACATGCAAGGGACCCAGTAAACTTGGTTTTCCTTCCTTTGGAGGTTCATTGTGATTCAACACGATTTTTAGCTGTCAGAGAACTCAGCAGACATTAACATCCACTGGAGGAGTTACAAAAACTAGAAAGTAGAAGCTATTGATTATTTCACTATGAATGAGAAAGAAAAGAAAAGCTACCCTCAAGAGAACGAAATGATCTTTTCCTTCTTTAGAAAAGAGAAAGAGTGAAAATGAGTTGATAGAAGCAGCCAAAAAAATGTGAAACAAAATCCAAAATGTTGTTGAATTTCAGTTTATCTTAACCACTCATTGCATTTACAATAGCAGTGAACTGCAGTACTTGCTGTAGCTTCCCAGACGCCGCAATCAAGAACAAACAACAGCTTTTTTGTTGCTGTTTAACTGGAATAGAATATCTAAAAAGGCAAAGACAGAAATACATCAAATAATTTTTACAATTTCACTGTGTTCCACAATTTGCCATACACCCATAAATACTGATTTGATTTGTATATGTAGTGATTTTTATACTGTATATTTAAATATTTAAATTAAATATATATGTATATATATATATATATATATATATATATATATATACACAGACATGTTTTGCTAGCAATCCCTACTTTGACAAGATTGTTAACCTTCTATGATCTTTAATTTTGTCCTTGACTGTCTCATTTCTTTCCTCTGGTCTTTTTTCTTTGCTGTATCACTATTTGCCATGGCGCCAACCCAGCGCCCCCACAGGAATCATCAAAATTATGTTTGATATTATTCCTAGCAGGTCGTGGTGGGGTTGAGGGACCCTGGAGGCCCAGACAGGTGGCAGGCAGCCCAGCCTCAGACCCTGCTGTGGGTGTGCATCCACCCTGAGGTGTCAAACTCTCAGCCAGGCTCCCACAGCCTCGCCTTGGTTAGGGTGGCTGGCAGGGTCGCACTGCGGGTTCAACCCCAGTTCACCCTGCCCTCTGCCTGACACAGCACACATCTTATTAGTTTCCATTAGTTTGTTTGGGATGTCATGTGTTTTATCTTACGTTGATTCATGTTATACACTTAGTACACCTCACCACCCCTCACCATTCAACGTATTTTTCATTATTTCTGGGCCCTGGGGCTGGCAGGGCTTCAGTGGCTTCTGGTCAGAAGAGCCCCAAGCTGAAATACACCCTCTACAAACACAGGACAAACCAGTATTTTAGACAGCTTTGTGTTTCATCTGTTAGTTTCATAGAGTTTTATTATCGTTATCTGATTTTCTGCAAGCCAGTTCTCCATTAGGGACAATAAAACCTTAATAAAAAAATCTGAACTATCCACTGTGTTGAATAGGGATTGGATTTATGACAGGTTTGATGTTAATATGATTTAATAAACAACACTGACTCCAAGGGAATAAAAACAGACAAATTGAATAGCTCAAAAAAGAAGCTGCTTGCAATCAGTGTGGATGGGGAAAGCAGTGAAAAGCATAGACGTACTGACTCAGCATTAACCAGACATGGTGATTTTTGAAGAATAGCACACTTGAGCAAGTGTTTCTTTGGTCATTTTACAAATATTAAACTCAAGAAGGAAAATGAAATGAGAAAAGTTCATCTGTAAAGCTAATCTAATCTGTAAAAGTTTCTATTTGACCAACAAAGTTCAATACTGGCATCATAATGTGCTTTTATGCTGTGTTGTAAAGCTACCAAAGGTGTCATCTCTGAAAATGACGTCACCATTTCTGTATCAAAATGTTTCACTTATCCTATATAGGTCTGATATTGAAATCAAATCTTTTATGCTGTTCTACACATAGAGAGAAGAAGGCTGAGGGACAGAGAGAGAGAGAGAGGGAGAGAGAGACAGAGAGGGAGAGGGGTCAGCAGCCACAGTCTTTTCCAGCATTCCTGGTTCTCACAGCTGAGGTGTGAAGTGACGCCTCTAGACTCATCAGTTCTCATCAGTGTGAAACCATCACACCTCCACTTTAACTGGATAACACAGGTCATTATACTTCATTAAATGTATTTACATTTACTACGTTTACATTTTGGCCATGTAGGACATCGGTTCCTATCCAGAAGCGCTGACAACAGGAGCAGCAGAAGAAGATGCTTCCCTGCCAGGATCAAGATAAAGAAAGTAATC